GACTTTGAAGGGCTTTCGAACAAACCCACTGACTGCTAAAAAGACTCGGGAAAATGGTGTTGAAATTTGAAGCAAATGGATCATTGGTTACACGTGCTGCGAGAGGAAGAAAATCCGTTTTTACAGCGGTAGTAAAGAAGGTTGTGGAGGAGAACAGAGTATGAAATGTTAAGATCAGCACGTTAGAGTTTTTTGCGTAGCGCAGGCGCTGGAAATATGTTAAATTGAAGGCCCGTGGAGGGTTCTCTGGTGTTATCCGATCCGTACAAACTTTCATTTATATATGAATTGCTTCCATGTGGTTTTGATACAAGGACAGTTCTCAGAAGAGTTTCTTGCTGACTGTGAGATCGATTCGAAATGCTCTTGGAACATCCTCTGGTCAGATAACGCGCATTTTTATTTGCAGGGTTTAATGAATACTCACAGTTGCCGAATCAAGGATCCACAAAATCGGCGTTCAATCCCATATGTTCCGCTACATTCCCCAGAAGTCACAGTGTAGATTTACAGCGTCATTCATTCTCGAGCTGGACGTCTTTCGAAGTTAACTCTGACAGGTCCAGTGACATGCCTGATCGCCACCCCAGGCAGCGATATGCAACGTTATTAAAAAAATTGTTCCAGCTCTGCAAGATTGTTAGTGACTTGCATGCTAAATCTTCATGCAGAACATCCTCTACATTGTGCATAATGTGTTATAGAGTCACTGTCTTTTTGGAAGCATAAATTGTAGACTCTAAGTAAAAGACGAAGTCAAATTCTCGCTATGTCTTTGAAGAACAGAACTGCAAAAGAAGGTTTAAATAACCCTTTTATTTGAAATAAAGTAACAAGATGCGGGCACTCGCAAAAATCACAATAAATTAGAATGGCTAAGGACTGGCTTCTTAGTTATTTAAACCACTAAATCGGCTGCACACAGCAAAGCCGAGCCTAGAATATCAGTATAATCTGAAGGGTGTTTAATACCAACTAGAGAGCTAATTTCAAACACGCAGCATAAACTCGGAACTAACTCCGCTACTACTCTTCACGAACTCTCGAAGCGCAGCTTAAATACTGCCTCTGAACAGATTTAGATTTCCCATACTACGTCATTAAAATTTACATTTTTGGGAGGGAAAGGAAAGTTGAACTAAAAATAACTGGTTAGAATAAAAAAATAAAGTCTTTTCCCAAAGTCAGTTTTCAGAAAAACGGGTTATCAGCCCCGGCATTTTTGTTGCGTGTGGCCTTACAGATTCTCCGACTCGATTCCAATATATATTTGGTTTTGGGTTAATTTAAAATACCAGGCCAGTCTTAGTAACCTGAGCACATTACCTGATAAAAGATAGCATTTCGGAACAGGTGTACAATATTTCTAGACACACACTTCATTCCATTATGGAACACGTCATCTCGAGGTTTCAGGTGGTAACAGACAATCATAGCCACTTTGTGGAACATGTTTTCTGTAATCAAAATTCTACACGTGGAAAATGTAGATTTAATAGCTGAATTTAGGAATAAAAAATTATCACTTTACTATTAAATTGCTAGTGTGTGTTTTGATTTGTTTAACAAGTATAATAGAGACATTTTAAATTACTCGTACATGCAACTTTGAAATTCCGTAAGTGGATAAAAACATTTGGAGAGTGTGAATAATATGTTAGTAGTATAGTTTTAAAAAAATAAACATTGCCGACAAACGGTTATCATTTTTTACAGTGCTTGAAAGAGTGCAAATAAGTGGTCGTGGCTTAATATGATCTCGATTAATTAATGTTGTAGTAAAATTTGCACAGTATTACTGGATTACAGAAATAAGATTCATTTTTATTAAATGCACAGTAAAACTATTGGTTAGTGTTATCATCCTTTCGACATGTTTAAAAATTTGGATTATAAAATGAAGCGTACTGGAGACAACGCTGATGAATCCCAAATTTTACTGTTGTGCATTAGTGAAAACAAATTAGATTTACGAATGAGTTTGCTAATAGGGTGCGAAACTGATGCCTATGTCACATTTTAGTATTGAGAGAACAAGGGTGGTAAAAAAGGCAACACTCTTTTTATTACCAAAAATAAAATCTGGTAATCTTTATCTGATTCAGCATCATGCGCCTGTGATGCTGAATTCGAGGTATGAATGATAGCAGGACACATGCTAATAAAATGGACTATGGTCTAAATGTGACACTGAAACACATTAAGATAATTTACTAGCCTACTGACATTATTCTTTTCATTCAACTTTGTGATCTAGGCATAATACCAAGAGGAAACGTGCATTAATGTTGGAAAATGAGAACTCAAAGTATCAGAGCTACAGGGCAGATAGACTAGCTGAAAGTGAGCATTTCACAACAGGGAAGGAAATTATCTTTTATTATATATATTTTTTTTCTATTTATAAGAACACAGGGGGAAACAGTCAAAAATAAATTTAAAAAAACAGGATTTCTAACTAAAAAATGTTAATGCATCTTCTAATTTTTGAAAACAAGCAGAAATCATTTGTAATATAAAAATTGCTTCAGGGATATTGTATAAGTTGATGATATTGTAGTTGTCGAAGAAATGACTGAGGGCAATGCTTGCTACTAAGTTCAAATGAAATATGGCAGCTATAATTCCACAGAAGTTGAAAGGACGGGCACATACAAAAAGAGGGGGGGAGAAAACTAGTGATATGCTCCGAAAAATGAACTTTTTTTGTTGTACAGTAATTTTTAATTGAACAAAAGTGACATAATTTACAATCAAGTCGGTAAATAAAACTTTTATTGAACATCGTTGCCTTTTTGTTTACTATTATCACATCAACAAAATATAGATCTGGTCACATAAAGTGGTGAGCACTGCATTTATAATAGCATATTTATAAAAAATTATGCTTTTAAATTTTCTGTTACAGATAGAATAAACCAGAGGTGGCCAAACGTTTTAGCCGGCAAGCAGTATTGGCTCTTTCACGAAGCTTCGAGGACTTAGACCTAGTTCTTTAATCATACCATAGGGATGTACTTATGATGTATAGCGTACACATGTTTTTAAACACGGCAGTGAGATTTTTGTGATTGGAGGATAAGAGACTTACTTCTTTTTGAGACTTTTACGCAATTTCATCTACTACGAATTTCCTAAAATTGCTCAAACATTGAAAAAATATTCTTGTACCAGAATATAAGAGACTGCTTCGGTTTGCAAGTGGATTTACCTCCCCGTCGTAACAAATTATCAGTACATTTTGTTTACATTTCAAACAGATGCTAACTTTCGCTTATGGGTATTTCATATTTCGGGCAAGTTTCGTGCGAAGAAAAAATCTCCAAAATTAAAATAAATTACAACATACACAGAATAAAAATTAAGATTGAAACAAAATTGCTACTGAAAATTTCCGCGAATAAACCTCGAATACGACTATGAAAGAAGGCAAAGATAAAACCTGAAATCTTAATTCACGTAAAGGGTACAATGAAAAACTTTTTAACAGAGTGTTACTGTATTTCAGTCATTGTAAATTTAGAATTGATTGTATAACATTTATAATATGCTTTATAAAGAATGCGCATGACAAGATCGTTTGTTATATAAAATAGTTAATGTGTCTGTAACATTGCTCAGTTTGAATTTTGTAAAAATTATTTAAAAAGCCTTTGGCAGACAGGATCCGGCTGTGAACGCAGTATAGAGACCCCTGGACTAAACACTGATTGGCACATATTTTTACATTTAGTGAAACATTTTATGTGGTATCACAAATCGGAGGTTATTATAATAGTTTTTCTTACTATAGAAAGGAGAATTTTTAAGTGCTATTAATCATTGTTTTCTAAAAAATTATATCCCTTTCCTATAACCTTAAGTTTTCAGGACTAAATGGAAAGTTGTTTATAAGCGTATAATAATTATATAAAGATGAAAGAGAGAAAAAGAGAAACATTCGTAAGTTAAAAATAGCTTAATCTTCTAAAATAACATATGACTAAATAAAATATATAGGTGGCCATTTTAAAGAACAATTTATATAAATTTCTTTACAAAATACAGTACATAGGTGGTCATTTTAAGGAAACGTTTACTGTAAATTTCTTAAGAGCTATCATAAACTTTAAGGAAACTATTCTATTTAATAAGATGGTCGTATTTTGTCTTCCTTTTTATGCTATACATATGACGTTGTCTTTCATATGCTACATCAATGTTATATGCCATTCCTTTATATGTTACACAAATGACTTCCTTTATATGTTACATATATGAAAAATAAGAAATAAATGTTTGGCATTTTGAAACAATAATCCTTAATACACAAATAAGACTTTTCTTCAAAAACATGTTTAATATATTAATCATTTGTATGCATTTTCTCAGAAATGTACTTGTAACTGGCTTAAAATTTAATAATATCTCTATTATCTGTATCAGTATGTAAAATAATATGATTTTGAAATAATCTCTAGAAAAGCTTTTTTAAAACTGCCACAAAAAGTTATTCATCAAAATTACAAAGTTATGTCTAATTAATGAACTCCTTTACAGTTTCTTTTGATAAATGGAAAATGTAGGATAATAATCAACTAGAGCTTTAATAATTAAAATCAAATGTAGTAAATGCAGTGTAAAACATAAAAATAAACTTAAACATCAACACTCTTCTTATATATAATTACATACGGAAATGAGAGCAATATCTATCAATGCATGCTACTTATACTAAGTTAAAATGTGTATAATATACTACAATGATAATAAAAATTAAAACAGTTAAAGTGCACTGTAATAGGAATGAAGGTATTGTTGATACATGTGGAAAATGTGTAAGATATCAGTGTTTATAAACCCGAAACTTAAGTAAGGAAACATAGTGTAATCGGTAAATAATTTTGGCTATTCTAAATTTTGAAAAATACAATGTAAAATCAAAATGAATAAATAATATTGGCACGAGAATACATATTCATAATGTTATGAAATAAATGCTTTTCATAGAGAAAGCTTACCTCCAATCTGTCCGTACGGGGCACCTTCTGTGTGACTATCGGTGTATGCACAATGGAAGTTAGCTGGGGCGGCGGCGGTGGAGCGGCCAAAGCATCCGCAGGCATCATACCAGCAGGAATCATAGGGCTAGGGCTTAGGTATGGACTAAAGGATGAAGCCGTATGACCAGCCAAAGCAGGCATGTACGGAGTAGTTGATGCCTGAAAAAAGAGCACACGAATATCATGAATTAAAAATGTAATATGGTATTAAATAAACAAAACACTTTTGAGACTCATGACAATATTTATAATATTGCGATTAAATAGTTTCATTTTCTAATATCCCTGCATTAAAATATTATATTAATTATAGTATCTTTATTTCCAAAGCCAATTGACACCACACCCAGTGAAATCAAATTGCAGTTCAAATCACAACGCATTTGTGAAAAATAAGACGCAGTTTCAAAAATGTCCTTTAATACTTTCTTTCTTTACCTCATAAATTACACTTTTGAATAACGTAAAGCGTTTTATATGTGCAGGAGAAGGAAGATAAATTTTTAAACACGCAGCATGCAATTCAAACTTTGCTCAAAAGTCATATGCTAAGATAAAATTCCCATTTTAAAATATTTTGTTGTTCGCAGAAAGAAATGCTATCCGAAAGCAATAAAATAAAAATTAGCAGAACATAACTGTCCCAGTCATTTTCAGAGAATGAAATTAGAAGCTAATATTTCTTTGTATTACATTGTTAATCATGTCATCCTTTATTCTGCACTTACGTGATCTTAGAGGTAAACTTTAAGTGTTACAAAAAGAAGTGAATGTGATAAAATGGTAATTAAATAAGTATTATTATGAAAAAAGGACAACTCATATTATGATTTTACACGTTTAGTACAGAAGAAATAAAGCATTTAAGATACCAAAGGAAAGAAGGACTTCGAAAATTACATAAAACACCTCTCAAATGTTTAAATGCGCAAGATACGACAGCTACTAGAATGCAACACTAGAAATAACAACGAAAACCAGAAAGAATAATTTAGCTTTTAATGTACGATACTTACGTCAACTGCGAAAAGGAATTAACTTTGAGATAGCCACGTATATACGCATCGTTAAGACACTGAAGAAATTACCTAATTTAACTATAATGGCATACGTACAATTAGCCTATTTTAGTTACTTATTAATGAAACATGCTGGGAAAAATCAGTATCCTTACCAGAGAAGAACCATCACCAGGCTTTGACACTTACCAGACTATTATTTTTATGCATTCCAAAAAATTCAAGCTTTTAGCTCAATATCCTGAGTTTATAATTTTTAACACGAATTATTTATTCATTTAGTTACTTACGAAAACAAAAAGAAGATTTTTATCTTTAAGCTTGACAAAATATCCGGCAAAATAAATTAGTCGAAAAGTAGAAAGAGAAGTTTAAACATCTTGAAAATTTAACTGGAGCAGCTTGATTTGAGGATTCGTATCAAATAACTTAGGCTTTTGTTTGTATCGTCTACGGGGTATTTGACTGTAATTATTTGTCTAGAAAATAAGGGAGATGAATTTTTAATCATTCTGCAAATATGAATGATACATTTGATACTGTATTTACAAAATAAAATTTTCTTCAATTTTTTCTCTTTTATTATCAAATTTATAAATTTTTTTTGTTTAAAAATAATTATATATTTGTATATGATAATGCACAAATTCTTTTCTTTAAAAACAATTACATACCTATATATAATTCCGCACACAGAAATTTGCACAATTCGAATATTTATACTCAGATATATTTTATACTATTTATTCGAATATATTACTTTATTTCAAACTAAATTAATTTACGTTACATGCATATTTCAATAGAAGTTCGTATACGTACTGGATAAAATTTCATTTTCTGAGAATTAAAATTTTGGAACTTCGCCATCTAAGTTAGAGTTTTAAGTTACTTAAAATGAATTCGTAATTAGGTATTAGTCATAGAATTAGTGATTTAACAAATAGCTAAATGGTAATATTTAGGCCGCTATTCTATACTCGGGAATGTTTTGGAATACGCTACACGGAAAAGACTTTATTTGTTTGCACATTTGAAGAATAAAAATTTATTTCATTTTTACTAGAACGTTACGTTGGTACTCGATAGAATGTCAAAGCCTAAATGAATCCAGTCCTCCTCCAGTACGTCTCGTAGTTATATATATATAAATATCTACATATATACTCTACATCCTCACAGGCTCAAGTCTTTAATATACTGTTAGTCGAGTCAGTTAGATAGAATGCAGAGAATAATAAGAATACTTCGTGAGGAAGAGAACAATAATAGGCTTAACCTAGATAGAAAAAATTAAGAACATCATTATATGCGCTCACGCCTTTAGTAAATGCCGCTTCCCCGCATTACTCTCCAAAAAGAAAACAGCTTTTCTTTTCCAACATTAGTTTCTTCCTTTTAATCAGCAGAATTCTTTCTTCCTACACAATGGCAGAGTTGGGCGGGACCATTTTGTCCGTCTCTCTAATTTGTTTGACTCGCGAAGCTCTTATCTTTCTTTTGTGATTTCTCATTTCGGTCAGGTACGACAGGACAGGCAGACGTTTCTTGTCAACGGCGTCGTAAAATTGGGATTCTCTGCCCATTAGAACAAGCCGATAAATCTTCCTTCGGGAAGGCTTATGGCGGCGACCGTTTCGGCGACTTTATCCGAAGATTTGAGTTTCACAGTGTCGTCATCTGAGCTTTGGGTCAAGTGTTGGAACTAAGCTGAAGCATAAGATTAAACCAACTTGTGGGAGAAAAAAGAATCCTTTTTTGAAATCCGTATTTAATGAAAAGGAAACAAAAAGAAACTACACCATTAAATCAATACCTTTCACTAATGTGAAAGAATCAATCAAATGCGCATTAACGCAATGAAATGAATATTCAGTAACAAAATATTTTTTCAGTAAAATGCTTTTATGAAATGAATAATACATAGAATGAAAGAAAAAACATGTGGGTTGAATGGAAAGAAAACTGATATAATAACAAAGCGATAATAGGAAAAGAAAGCTCATTAAGAACATGTAGATGTCATTTATTCTTATTCCTATTCAATAGTACATAAGTTTCAATGATATTAAATATGGAAGATTGATTACACAGTAAAATTAAACACAATTAGAACATACTAAAAGTAACGTCGTATAAAACTGGAACTATTCTTAAATTATAGACGTATTTTAGGAATTTGTGCAGTAAAAAGTTAGGTATCTGCGTTGTAGCGGATAAAGAGTCTCATTCAGTAAAATGAGCAAATTTTCAAATCGCTGTATGCATTATCACTATCATGAATAACTTGGATTATTTGATCATTACCAAACATACAAGTGTAATTTGCCTCAGTAAAGAGACAACTTTATGGAGGCTGTTCTAAGGGAACTAACTAGTATTTAAGTCACCCAGGAGGAAAATCGCGAATATCTCATGCAACAGCCAGCTCAGCAACCGGGAATAGAGACCAAACCGTACCAGAACTGTTCCATGCCTCAGCTACATTAACACTTTTATAAAACTAATTTGACGATATAAAAATAATTTACGTAAATATATTGATAACAAAACGAAGGAGACTGGTGAAGAGATGTATGCCTTTTAAGTTATACATTACAGTAATCACAAAACCTTTTTTCTTTAAAGAGTATTGCAAGATTGAGATTTGAATTTTCATTATAATGTATGCATTATTTGTTTAACTATACATTAAAAAACATTTCATTATCTTTCAAATGCATTTTCCCTTTATTATACAGCATTCATCATCAAGGAGTTTACTAAATGGATTTTAACTGTAAGTTTGCTTCCTTCCAAGTATAGCACACTTGCAGTGAAACACATTTCAAAATTAGGAAATAACATTTATACGATAGTCTCTAAATTACGTTAATTTTATTAATCGTCCAGTTCTCAAAACGAATGGTTATTATTAATCAGAAGTTAGATTAAAATAATTTCTCAGTTCATAAAATGTATTATCAAGTGACTACGATTGATTATAGACTAAAGATTTCAAAACCTTTTCTCGCTGGCCTTTATTTAATTTGCTTTTTCATTCCTGAGATATGGCAAATTAAAAATGCTTACTACTAACGCTTCATTTTTCAAAGGAGTATAATGAATAATTTTCCAAAAATAAAATGTACCATATTGCACATCACGTCTGCTGCTAAACACAAATATTTTCCCACGAAATAAGTGGTTGAAAAATTAGATTTATTCCTATAGAAATAGTTATTTCCCCATCTTCACAATTTAAACAAGGAAAAAAAAAGATTCCTTTGTTTGAGCATTATAAAAAATTGTAGAGACATTAGATATTTTTTTGGAAGCAGCCAAGATGAAAAATGAGCAATCGCTTTCGCCAGGAATCGAACCACGGACCTCTGGAATACCGGTCCAGTGTGCAGAACCACTACACCACGAAGGCACGCTAGGAAGGCGGGGAAAATACCTTATAAAATTTCTGATTCTTATTTTTTTATCCTACTGTTTTGTGTATTGAATTCTATACCTATTAATGACTCATTTCTTTCCTAATTTGTTTTCACAACAGCTAGCAATGAGAGATTACATAGCCAAAGAAACATACTTCAGGAAATTAAAGTCCTTTCGAAGTTTAATAAGCATGTTAATGAATGACTTTTAATTCGACACATTCAGTTCAAAGTGATTCTCAGACTAAATGGTTATTATTGATAAAAATAAAGAATATTATTGTGAAGACTGAATACACCGCATGTGGATATACTTCCGTTTGTTCTTAAATATGTGATAATGTAGTACATAAAGAATGATGCATTCAAATTATGAAACAATACAGTTGAGAAGTCACTAATGCATAAAGTATTAGGTAAACATAAATGCATCAACATAAACCGGCAAACAGTTTTTGTTAAAAATGAAAGAAACATCTTATTATGTATATTATATCGCATATGCGATGAAATATATTTTATATGGTGCATAAAATTTCATGAAATGAAGTTTTAAAAGCTAAATACAATTACTATAATCATGTTATGCATTCAGCAGCATCAGTGCACATTTTACATACACGCAATTTTTTTTATCTCAAATACTGAACTCCCGTGTTCTGTTATTAAAATTTCTAATAAAGTATTTCTGCGCTTTTATGAAATTACGCAAAGGAAA